GCGGCGCCGCTGGCACGGCGGGGATACCCTCGGGGCCGCCCTCGGCTGGGAGGGAGACGAAGCGCACGAGTACTGCGCTGCCCCTCGCGACGCCGAGGCTGGCAAGTGTCGTGCTACGCAGCTGATCCTCGCCGGTCGCGACGACGCGGAGGTCGCCCGAGCCTCCGTAGAGGATCGCAGGCGCGTGTCCGGCTGGCATGGCGCCGTCGGCCAGCTGTTCGGGGCAGAGCGCGCGCACCACCTCTAGCAGGCTGCTCTCATCGCCGAGTGACCCAGTGCGGCGGTCGCCCGACTCCAGCTGGACGGCGACCCGGCACGGCGCCTGGCTGCTACCGCGCGGGGCGGTATGTCCGTCCTCAACCACCTCGATGAGCGCGTTGTTGTCAAGCCCAGAGAGGCGGAATGTGATCGACAGGTCGAGGTGTTTGCGTGTGCGGCCGTGCCGGAGGCCTCGCGTCGCCACGTCGAGGCCGCGTTTTGTGCAGGCCGCTGAGAGCACCTCGCGGAGCGTGGTGTTTGGTGCAACGGGCACCTTCTCGCGGACGCCGCGCCCAAGGTCGACTTGGAGAAAGGGCATCGCGGCGTGAGAGCGCTTTGGTCCTGTCTCGCGCGCCGCCGGCCGCGCCAGCGATTTTTTTGGTTTGATCAGTGTTTGATCGCGGGATGGAAGACGCTGCTTCACTTAGAAAGTCGAGTAACTGATTTTGGCCCATGCGCATGCTCTTCCTCGTGCTCTCGCGCGCTCGGGAGCCGGAGTGGCGGGGTCGGAGCTGCTGCAACGGCGCGAGTGGCCGCGAGGGGTCGTGCTGGGGCTCGCCAGAGAACGAGGCCACGGCGCGGCGCTCGCGGCGGCGCACGGGGCAGCTTTGAGCAGTGCAGCGCCTCAACATCAGCTTCAAGCAGTGCAGCACAACGCCAGTGGCCTCTCTGGAGCTGTGCGGCGGCTGGCGGGCCTGTGCGACGGCGCCGATCCGTGGGCTCGGGACGCGCAGTCGGCTCGCGTGCCGGTTGCCGAGTCAGCCTGGCTGGCGAGAAGCGCCAAGGCCTTCCCTGCATTCTGGGCGCTGCCCAGAAGTGCGCAGTGCCTTTGCTGCGCCGACGGGCGGCCTCGATGCGGATTGCCGCGAGTGGCGTGGGAGCCTCCAGTGGCACGGTCGTTGGTCAACACCGCGGCGCGCGCGCGCCGCGGGTGCTGCACAACAAGCGGAGGGCATGGGCGGGCGCTCTATCGCTTTCCGGAGCCCAACTTTGACTATCGATTGCCGCCGGTTATTATAACCGGTGGGAGATCGTTCCGGCAGACGGAGGGATTCAACGCGGCGATAACTGCCCGAGACGTCCCTAACCTTTATTTATTTCTGCCCTGCTTCAGGAACCGGAGGCCGTCTTCCTCAACCAACCAAACCTCATTACCGACTGCCGGTCGTTGGGGACACGTGACTCCTGCAAAGGGCAGTGTCTCCACCCGGGAGTCGGACATTCCAAACCCCCCCCTGCCCCCTCTCTCTCCCCCCCCCATCCTAGCCCTCTTTCTCTCTCCTCCTCTTTCTTTCTCTCCTTCTCCCTCATTCCCCCCCCCTCCCCCCTCTCCATCTTTGCCGCCCCCGTGCCAACCCCCGCCGCCGCCTCGCCTGCCTCCACCTCTTCTGCCACCTCACCCTTCGCTCCCCCCGCCGCCGCCGTTACCTCCCCCACCCCCTCCCTCGCCGTTACCACCGTTACCCCATCCGTGGCCGCCGACACCAACCCCCTCGCCCCCTCCGCCGCCTCCCTCTCCACAGCCGCCGTCGCCACCTTCTCCATCACCCTCGCCCCCCTCTCCTCCACCTCCTCCGTTGCCGCCGCCTCTGCAACCCCCTCCCTGGCCGCCTCCACCAAGACCGTCATCCCATCGACCCTCTCCCCCGCCTTCCTCTCCGCCGCCACCGTCCCCGCCGCCCCCTCCGTACCCGCCTCCCCCTCCGTAGCCACCGCCATCGCCATCGCCATCGCCGGTTCCGCCGCCCCTGACACCGGCTGCGCTACCGCCGTCGCACCGGCCATTGCCCTCCCCGCCACCACCATCCCCGCCACCGCCGTCTCCGCCCCCACCAAGCCCCCCGCCCTTACCTCCACCTCCCCATCCGCGATCACCAACTCCGTTGCCGTCCCCACCGCCCCCGCCCTATGCGCCATCACCCCCTCCGCCTCTTCCACCGCCGTTGCCGCCCCCCTCTCCTCCGCCCTACCTACCTCCCCCGCCCCCGGACCCCTCCCTGCCACTGCGGTCCCCCCTACCACCTCCACCGCCGCCGCCCTCCCCTTGGCCGCCTCCTCCAGCACCATCTCCTCCTTCGCCGCCCTCTCCGCCTCCACCGAGCCTTCCGCCCTCACCTTCGCCTCCCCCCCCGCCA